AGGCTTCTTTTCCAATGGATGTGAGGAAATGTGCCACAATTTATCACCCTTCATATCTTTCTTGATCATGCACCAGATTTCGAACCTTTTTATCTAATCCTCAAAAGCTTCAGAGTTTGAATGAATGTCCAACTGTTCTATCACACGCTCCATCGCGACGTCAATATGATAAACAGGGATATCTGAATTACTACACAAACTAGGAACCCCAGAAATAACACAATTTAACAAAGAAGAACTAGATGAGCACGAACGAATGTATTGTATTCGGAATTAGAAATCGGGTAATTATCAAGTACAAAGGAATCATTAATTCATACAAACACTACATGCTTCTCCTGATTAAAATTACTCAACCACTGAAAGAAAACCCTAAAGTGTTATCTGATACTGATGACTATAATCCAAAAATGGATCAGTAACTTGTGCTAAAGCATTTCAAGTAAATAAAAACATTGTCAACTACACTGAATTCACTACTACGTGTACTTAAAGCAAGTATCACATATTTGGTCCAAGTTTATTCTTTACATTAATCAGTTTCTTTTATTTTCATCTTATCTATCAAGTGATATGATAATCTTTTATTCGCTGCTATTGATTAAAATATCTGACAAAACAAAAGATAAACAAATATCACAATACAGCTGACGTCAAAGATTTTCAGGTACTGCGGTCGTATCAAAGAACCTTTTGATGGTTTGATCAGTTTATGATGAGGATTTTACTTCCCATTTAGATAAAACTCCATCTGCAGTATTACTCCTAACCAGAAGGTTCATTCTTCATTAAATATACAAAGCGTTAGGAACCGAGCTTCTCAGGCTATCCAAATGAAAGGCGACTGAGGGATCTAGATCTCATCCCTTTCTATTTTCATATACCTAGAGGTGGTCATATTTCAGCATTCCGCAACTTAAGTAGTGAATTGTATGCTAAAATGACTTGTCTATTGGTTTCCTTTTGAGAACAGTCCTCCGAAGCTATTACTAAACGTTTCAATAAACCACGATCGAATGAAATTCATTTTGTTAAGAAATGACGTGAGTGGAGATAGTTTAAGGGTCGTGGATGTATATTTCTGAAAAATCCCATGCTGAAAAAAACACACCCAAGCAGTGACATCTGGTTATCACTGAATCCCTATGATGTAAACCCCAAACTTCGTATTTCAAATTACTTCACCAACCATTAGATCTCACAACCAAAAAAACAGTATTAGCTAACTCAGTGAACGCCTACAAGAAGAAAGCGGGTATTCTAGGAATATCAAATAACCTAATATCCTTGTTTCTAAAGAATGAACTCCTTTTTATATAAATTAAACAGTCGAAGTATTAGACCTTTGTTAAATTTCTGAGGTAAATCATAATGAACAATAAATTTCAAAGATGAGTAGTTATTTCACTAGTGACATAAGTGACTTCACTGGTGATGGTTTTTCATTATAACTTTGGAAGTTAATCTTGAAGTTAGTCACTAGCTGCATATAATTATTACTGAGTTGTACTTTGTAAAGATTCGTCTAATATTTTAATTTGAAGTTTAGCTTTCCTTATTACTGAAATGCAGTATACATCTGTACATGTCTCTAATGAGGTTTTTTTTAAAACCATCTATTTGTTTAAGTAATGTCTATTTGACTGTCAAATATGTAAAATCCACAATTATAATGTATAAGAAAGAGATCGCTTTGTGCGGCCTATAAAACGTACCCCATATGACCATGTAAATTTATAGAAACACATTGATGTGGCCCAAAGCGGAAGTTTATCCTTAACACATCCAAGAATGGTAGGCGAGTTTGAGAAAACAATTCGGAACTTAGCTGTTTTATTCAACAATTTCAAAATCCATTTATTTAAGATTTCAGAACACTATCCGGTTTGACTTTTAAATGGTGAATACAAGAAAGAATTCTATTTCAAATTTATATACTGATTTTTGTTAAAATAACTTTAGAATATACTTCCATTGTATGAATTAACTTAATATGTATATTGTTTATTTAAATTTTCAGTGCAATTTTATTGTGTTAGTAAATTAAATGATTTTGTTTTGTGGTAAAATTAATTTGGTTTGCCAAATTTATTAACTAATCATCAATGAAATAAATTGTGATATAATTCAATGCACTCAAATGTGAATTAACTCTTGTTAGATATTAATCATAAAACTTTTTTTGACAAGTTTGAACTTTTTAGTTAATGAATAGGGATAAAGAAGATAGAAGTTTCATTGATGCTCTATTCAATTTGATATTGTGAATTAATAACTTAAGGGAAAATTGTATCACCTTATTACTAAATAAAAATTACTTTTTATATAATGTAATTTCAGATAAATCATGACTAAACCATCCAGCTTAGAGAACAAAACTCCATCAAGATAAATCTAAGTAGACAATTAGGAAAAGGCTATGAAAATGGATAGTACATTACGTAAATCATCAAACTGCATCACAAGGCAAGGCCTAACTTGAAATCCTGAAGGGAAACGGGAAAGAGGAAGACCAAAGAACACATTACGTCGGGAAATAGAAGCAGATATGAAAAGGATGGATAACAACTGGAAAGAGCTGGAATGGATTGATCAGGACAGGGTTGGATGAAGAATGATGGTGAGCGGCCTATGCTCCTTCACGAGGAGTAGCAGACTTATGATAGGAGCAAGTGAAAATATTGATTTTCAAGAATATATTTCTAATTTCCTAGGTGGTATCTGGAACTATTAGAATAGTATATGTTAAAAAACGATTTATTGATTCCTTTAATCTATTTAGTTATTTATAAATACCTTTCATTAAAGTTTTTCAGTATAACAATCATTGAATATTATTAACTAAATATAATTAATTCCAACTTCAATATAAGTTACCATCCTTAATTAAGATTTTTTTAAACTATCAATAGTATCAGTTTGTTTAAAGATAGAGTATACAAAACTTAACATGATACGATTAGTAAATGTTTTTTGTAAAATCACTCGGATAAAGTGATGACGAAATGATAGAACTTTACACAGACATTATTCTTAAATGTAAATGAATTGTAGAATGTATAGATAAATTATTCAGCATAAAACCATGGAAACCTATTATCAGAACATAAGTGTATTTATTTACATGTTATCATTGATAAGCTATCCAATCGACAACCTTACATCAAAATGTAAATCAGTAATTAAATATATATCCGTACTCCGATTACACACGAAGGCTAGAGATGTTGATGGTTGAGTAAATGCGTAAACCGGTATCACGAAGCTTGGTTTAATACTCATTTCTCCTATCTTCTTGCTTTTTCAGTCCTTATTTTTTTTGTCTACCAAAAATATCTAAGATTTAAACAGGTTTTTTAATATATTCTTATCGTAGAGAGGAACTCAGAAAGTTTGTGAGGTTTGAATAGGTGAAACAATAAGAGCTGTTAGTCGTGAATAATAGCGCCCCAAGGACTAGTTATGGAAATTCTAAAGTTGGATGTTTTAGATTTGTTTAACAGGAAATTAAGTTAAACAAATATCGATACTCATTGGCATAGAGTACTAATGGAACTAAAATACTAGTCGGACACCATTGTTTTCATTTGGATTTGACCAATAACCAATTACAAGATCATGTCCCTGATTGGAGTCCTATATCTTATGAAAGGCCTACTGATACTACTCATACTGAGGTGGAACTAGGAACCAAATGGTGGAAAACTAATTGCTTTCACCAGTAAGCCACCAACCAATAGGATATCGACACAATTCCACCTTATTCAATATTGTACAAATAAACGAAGATCACAAGATACCTTGTTTAATAAACCCCGACTACTACTGATAGTCCTCAAATGTTATAGTTATATTATTGACTCAATAGTGAAGTACACTAATTAATGATTATTACGGGTGGAATGAAACACTTTTAAACTAGCAAGACGAAGATGCTGTAAACCTGATGGCCTAATAGTCAGCTAAGCTTGTTCACTACAGTAATACACAGATATTTCCCTAGATATTTGATCAGATGTAGTTTTAGCTGTTTTTGTTATACGCTAATATTCCTTACATTGAGATAAAAACATGTTGCTCCATGACAGTTGAGTTAGTTTTTTTCAATACACCCTTTAAGTTTGTATTTCAGAATAACCCAGTTTTCCATATATGCAGTTTGAATACCAACTTCAGCTATAAAAATTAATCCATGTATCCTATACAAAAATAATTGAGTGCATTTATCACCACACTGATGTCGTTAGTTGCCAAAACAGGTAATAATTTCCTCCGTGATTATGGAATTTTCAGATTCTAAAGCGCAAACCTGTCTTAGATAGATCGGCATTAAAAAACAAGAAACAATCGACAGCTGTTTAATCCTGATATGGAGCTCTACAGCAGTGCGTGTCTGGGAATCCAACCCCAACGTTCGATCTTGCACGCAAATGCCTACCCATTAGGTCACTGATAGAGCTGACCAAAAATGGATTATTTTTCCATTAGAACCTAACAATAAATTATCATCATTAATCCTGAGACGTTTCGGATAATTAATTGAGCATCTTTCCATCCAACTCAGTCATTAAGCAGAAAAAGCCAACAGGTATTTTTAGATTAATATACTGACTAAATCTCAGTAATAAAAATACCTACTAAGTCTTTTAATATATGCTCGTTTACACTACGTACCAAAAGCTTCCCTTAGTAACCATTATCAATGATAACCAGAGTAACATCAGTAATAGATTTTTAAATCAATTTTAACAGTGAGTAATTCTGACAATAAAATTTATGTGAAAAGAAAGCATTGCCTTAAGTATGGATTACGACAAAAATATTGTCTTATTATTAATAATCAGAAAATGTATAAAAATGCAAAATAATGACGTTATAAATATATATCTTGATAACTGGTATACCATGGTGAGTATAAAAAAATGGATGAATGGGAACAAATATAATGTGATTCTAGAGATACATTTAAATGTCATAAATAATTTTAATCACAACAGATAGGTAGAGTGGTTTTTAAATGATGTTTTTTCTGGAACCAAATAACTGAATGAATAGTAAGTTAGAGGAAGTTTAAATTATATATAAACGATGAAAGGATAACCACTAGTTTGGATGAAAATCAACATGGATACCAGAAAGATAATCAACTCGGATGGATATATATATTTTTGTCGAGCACTAAAACATAATACGCTAAGAAAAAGAATTTATTTCTCCAATCCTACCGGGTACTAAGACATTTTGTATCGTTAAAAAAAGAGACGCACGATCTCAAAACACAAAATGCACCAAACATAGATAATAGATGCAAAGTGTAGAAAACGTTAAACGAAGTAAAGGAAGTACAATGCAGCTAACAATGATTTGATAATTCATAAAGTCAAATGAACCATATATGTATTTTTCAAGCGTACTTCCTATCCCACACACGATCATAATTACTTGCTATTGTTTTTCTGTTACATTAATGAGTGGAGCTATCTCTTGGTTACCCAGTGAGTTCAAATAACCATTCAGGTAATTAACATCACTTGGTAAAAATTTATGATAATCATTATTACCACTACCATTACTGCTATTATTATTCTGAAAATCATCATTACAAGTTTCTTCTTTATTTAATTGATCTTCAGAGAAAGCATTCTCTGAATAATGATTATTGTTTATACTATTTTTCAATGTATCATCATTACAGACTTCAGAGTTTGTAGGATAATCTTTTACTTCAGTAACTCTCACTGTACCAGCTTCATGTTTGCGTTTTAATAATTTATATACACATAATAAAATAGTTATAATAAATATAATAAATATCGAAATCAATAGTATAAGTGATAACCAAAACGTGTTGACGTATGCAGACAACAGCATAGTAATCGGTTGTTCAGAAGTTTTTTTCCGATAACCAACAAATTCTAATAAACTTGTATTCTCAAATTGATTTAAAACATCATTTAGCATTCGATATTCGTTTTCAATCTGAAACTTTGTATGTGGAAAGCTCATAGGAGGTGTAGATGAACAATTTTGCTCATCCGAACCACTTATCGGACAATTCAACACTTTATCGCACCATAATCGCATGGGTAAACAGATACGATAAGGCCATTGCAAGGGAGAGTTGCGACGTTCATTTATTTTATCAAATGTATCACAAGCAAAAAAGCCCGATGGACAGGTAAAAAACACCCGGTGGTAAACGATCTAAATTATAATGGGAAATAACAGAAGTAACAGAATTGATACCAAAATAATTATAACTCAACTAATCGATAGTACGACCACAAATACAACAATAAATATAGTAGGTATAGAGTAGTAATGTTATTTAATATGACTTATATTATTTTGTTATGAGGATCTTAAATTACATCTAATCTCAATTACTGTACGTTAACTAATTTCTGTGGACAGTATTTTAGGTACGATGATTTGAAGGTGAAGATAACTAGATTTTATGATAAGAATCAAAAGTACTGCTTCATTTCACACAACCAGTCATCAATCAGTCTAAGCAACATAAAACTTGGCAAAAATATGCATCCACCAACACCGCATATCATTACAGTGATAAACAACAACAAGATGAAAAGCAAATAAGAAGAAATATCATCTTCAATGGGAAGCTAAGCACAAAGTATTTAGTTCTAAAGGAAAAAGTGATGTCATGTAACGAAAAGTATGAAAAAATTATTAACTCATGATTTAGAGGAAAGTTAAAAATGAATAAAGCTACACCAGTGTGACTAGTTTTAAGCGAAGCCATTAAGCGGCTTAGATCGTAAATCACGATTATCCCACATGTCCCACTTAAATGGGGTCTTTGTAACAACTGAAGTATCTTAGATAAATATCCAGTAACCATATGAAAAGATACCATGACTTGATCTGCCTGGCCTTAGCTCTTCATGAACGTCAATTGTATAGCTGATTCATATGACTATCAGTCATACATGGTCGCTTAACAAATCTTACACTGATACAATGGTTCAAACACCATACCACAGTGAGAGGAAATTTATACTAGCAACGAATCATTCCCATCTCCATTATGATTTGTTTCCATATCTAAACTAAAGAAAAATGAGTCAAGTAAACTCGTTCTAGAGGGTGTAGCCATGACTATTCGGGAAAACCTGAAGATAATTAAAGTTTAGCTACCTATCACAGTTGAACCTATTTCAAGACTTCCTGGCTCCAATTATTAAACACACCTCTTGGCTAGTAGTACGAACAGCACAAAAATCACTAAAAATAGGACTGTAGGAAATGTTTATTTAAGGTAAAGAACAAGATGTTGGATAGATCAGACCAAATAAACTTACAGGGTTGCTAATGGATGACAGAGTGACTGAGTGTAATTTAATCAATCGGCTTTATAAAATAGCCAACAGTGATTAATGGAGACTAGGACCAAATCATTTGGATGCTCTTCTCTAAAAAAGCAGTGGGACAGTATATACATGAGTTTAAAAACCTGAATGACTGACTATGAAGCCACACAAAATGTTTGCTGTTTATAAAATAGCATTATATCTTGACATTGCAGAAAAACCACCTGTGAATAGACTTTTTCGTGCAAAGGGATTAGTTCAAATAGAGCTTGTAAGCCAAACGATTTCTAACTTACAACCAGAGGTGACAATTATATGCATGCTGTTGTTATGTATACCCGGATATTCACCAACATTGTGAACTGAAACTTTCAGACCAGTAGCAAGTGGGAACATGAAGAAATAAGGGTCACTGATTTCATCTTTGCAACTCCCGCTAACCTTAAAAATAAATAGAGATGTAATTAGCATTTGCAGTGACTAAAATTAAATTAAAAAACCTTCATAATGCTATATGTTTGTAGTCCATATGCTTTGTCAAATAGTTTCCACTTACTATCTTTACAAAGGAATTTTACAATAATTGAGAGGGGGATAGCATCTCATGAGTTGTAAAACATTGTTTTTAATGCGTGCGAAGATTTCCAAACACCTTATTTGCTTTCAATACTTACTCAAAATGTTGAGTACAACAGTTTTGGGGTGATCCAGAACATTTCTCGCAAAAGAAAAGGATCAGGAAACACTAAGAAGCGTTTCATCCAATCCGCGTTCAATCAATGTTTTAGCCAGAAATATCAGGGAAGTGAAATGTCACATGTAGAGATTCTGATTGGCTGATTGCTATACTGCTACTATGTTTAGTAGCATTTCAGAATCTTCAAGCAAGCCCAGGATATTTAAAATATTATAAAACCCTATATTTTTTGTATTGAAATGAACCTTGGAGTGAAGTACTTCTCGCATACTTTGCGTCTTCTCTCTCGTGTTCAGGTCGCTGTACAGTTCTAGTTTGGGGGTTACACAGTAGCTTAGGAAACGAATATAGCGTTCCATTTGCAAGAATCATCAAACAGGACTGTAAAAAATATGCCGTATAACAATTTTGTGGACAAATTAAAGGTGGACGGTTATCTAGAAGACAAAGAACGGAAGTCAAAGGCAATAACGAAGCAAAGAAACATGAAGATGGAATTCATCTAAATTGATTCAACCTGCTATTTATGGAGAATGAAACAAGAAACGGTAGGATTGACAACGATCTATATTCTGTACTACTTTTGATGATGCCTAGAGCCTCCAAGTTGAGTGATTCCTTGGGTCCATCCGGCGAACTATAATGGAAAGGCGAGTGCCAATTCAACACAAATTTCTTCTTTCATAGAATTTATTTATTTAAACATATAAACATCAGTACAAGGAGGCACCAAATAGACATGAGCCACATACATCACTCGATTTGTGAGAGGGCTGAAATAGTGCCCAGATGCCCGAACCGAAACAGAAATACACGAAAATTATCTCTTCACCTATTGTACCTATTCCAAAAGTCGGAAAACAATACGCCGCATAAAGGCTAGTATCTTAACGTATTAGTATTGGTCATATCATCTCCCTTAACTTGAACACACTACCAAGCCTTAGCATTACTTATACAGTGTTCCAACAGAATGATAATGTTCTAGTATGACGATGTATTTGTTTGCGTCTTACTAGAATCAGAAAGCCACAACAAGAATACCACATAGAGTTTAACATAATGATATAAAAGTCAATACCAACCGACCTGAATAAAATTTGAACATAACCACCCCGACTATAAAAGTAGGAAAAGTCACAGCCAATCTAAACTGAAGGAGTTTATTATTATTATTATTAGCTTTATTCAATTTATATGTAAATATAAATTCTCAGCGAAGTATTTCAACAAGTTTCGTTTCTTTTTCTGGTCGTCCTGCGATAAATATTGAGGATCGCCAGTTAGATGTTAGCACTTCAGTGAATGAACACTGAATAATGTACATTCTTTTCGTTGTACATTGCCAGCAACCATATGTCTCTTATTGAGTTTTCTGTAACTTTGACAACGAAAGGTTGTACACTTTCAGAAACGCAGCAGAATAGGTTATTAAAAATATGATATATTAAAACAAACACAATAGATAACTTGTTGAATACTAGATGGCGGAACAGGTAGCCCAGATGCAGTAGTAGGCTCTTATGGACTAACTACAAAGATCTTTAAGGATGGTTATTCAGTTTTAATTGTTAAATTGACTGAGATGTTAGATAGAGTCTGGGAACTTGGCTGAATCCCATCTAATTTGTTTTGATCACTAATCGCTTCGGTCTACAAGAAAAGACGAAAATCCTCTTGTGATAGCTGCAGAGGAATCGATTTGATTAAAAGGGTTTCAAATATTAGCCACAATAATTATAGAACGCTTAAACAGGGCACGTGAAGGATAAACACGGGAAAACTAGGCTAATTTCTGGCGTTTATCGAGGACAATTCTTCAGAGATAACACCCATAGTTTAACTAATCAGCAGCCAACCTGCCAGATTCTCTTGTCGACTTAAAATACCCGGCTGGTATGGTTTCCTTTGGTGGAGACACCAAAGAAATCCAGTATTCTGATCTCCTTGGGCAACGATGATGGTTGAGATGTGTTTCTCTCCATCCGGACGCAAATTTTGCCACAATACACGAATTCATCTATGTGAGCATATAAACATTGATAAAAGGGGGGTCGCGAAGAGATAGAGAAAAAAGGTGGGTATAATTAAAAGAGAACAAAAATGAACAGAAATTAGTGGATGGTAATAATAATAATAATAGTAATAATAATATAAATAATAATCATATTAATAATAATATAAATAATAATAATATTAATAATAATAATAAAGGAGGGACAGTCCAGTTAAAAAAAACAACCAGAAAGGATCAATTCACATAAAGAAGTAACCCTCACTTTTACGCAGAAAACAAAATAATGTTAAAGCAGGACCAACACTGGTTCAATTCTGACCCATAGGTTGATCTAAATTCTGAAGATTCATTGCTAATGATCTCGAAATCTTACATAGCTCACAAACATGTAAAATGATAATCTACAAAGGCAAAAGATTATCATTAAGTATCCAGTCAACTGTCTTGAACAGATCTTCAAGCTTTTGATAACTGGTATTGCACATTAAATACATGATGTGTTTAGAAATACAAAACATTGATCAAAATCAATTTCAAAACCATAAGAATTTGATAAAAATGAAACTAGCGATAAGTCCTAATGATAGCAACAACACAAATAAAGTATGAATAAATATGTCTGTTTCTTTAACATACTACTTTAATACAAGTAAACACAAAAACATTTCTAATCAAATTGATTTAGTACATTATTTAAAGGATCGGTCAACAGATACCGTATAACTCGGAATTCAAAATATGTGAAGTACACTAGGGAATGTAATTCCAGAAGTTAAAATAGAAGAAATCTTTTAAATAAACAGTTATAATGTAAACGCTATTAAATTTTATGTAGATTTAAATCTAGGTAATGTTAGTTCTCTAAGGCACGATCCATTGACAATACAACTGAGACAAAACAGCTTATTCAAGTCATCCCAATACAACTTTTTTAATATCACGACACCATGTCATACACTCACCACTTCTCTGATTTTTCCAACAACTCCCAGTGTCCGCAAATAACCAACCATGGGAAGTTCGTTGGCATGACATTCGTATTAAATATCTAAGCAAACCAAGACAGTGTTCCAAGATGTTCACACCAATTGTATTATCCTCACTGCGTCTGAACACACGTTCCAGAACCTCTAACATTAATGAAATCGTGTTGCCACTGAATGTTACAAATACTTCCCAGACAACGATGATCAAACATAGAGAGTCACTTAACATCCTCAACTCGGTCAGTTCAGGATTAGAAAGCACATAGCACAACTACTCTAATCCACGTGTCGTAGATCCAACCCTTTACACCCGGGATAACAAAACAAAAGCACCAAAGACTGCACACGTCGAAATAACACAAACGAACTTCTATTATGCGTGAATTGGTCTCACTACTCACGCCACCACCGGCATTTACACAGATACACAGAGACATCGACTTTTACACTAATTCTATCTGCACACTAACAACAGTGAGTGAAGGGACAGGCTTCTGCCAGTCTTCTAATAGTACTTTGCACTCAGAAGGTGCAAAATAAATCCCATACCCACAGATGCTGACTGCCAACTGATTGAGTACGCACTGCATGGCTCGGATATCGTCTCAAAGTAAGACAATATCATCCGTATACCCAAAGCCGAAAAGTTTTTCGCCAGGCAACAGACCGACACCGCCATTACTTGTATCCATCAGAGCTGTTTCCAGAACGTCATTAATGACAAAGTTGAAGAAAGATGGTAAGATTGGGCAACCCACTGTTTAAATGAAACAATGGAGAGAGATGGTTGTAGGCCCTCGCTCTGCCTGTGTCTGTAAATGGGGCCTTCAAGATGTTAATGATAGCTACAACTCGGAAAAGTTGTAATCGCCCCGGTACGGTCGAAGGTGGGGAGTCTACCCTCCCTCTCGAAATGCTCTCACATGGCCACGCGCATAAAGCCACTGTCAGGGAAGTCCTACACACTGCCGTCTCGCGACGGGGGTGTTGCTTACGAAATTTAAAGGACGAAAAGCGAATGCCCGGCGCTCTAACTGGGTTGGTGGATATGGAGGATCCACATAAGGGAGTTGGAAAACCCTGCTTCCAAACCAATGGTTCACATGGCCTCCAAGATCCCGAGCAAAGAAGTGGAGTATGACTCAATTATTGGTCACCAGCTACCATGGGACTGCATCTCCTTACGTTGGTCCATTGCCTTGTGGATCAGATTTTTAGGTCGAAGGCTCCGGGTGTGGCCCCCCTAAGAAAACCACTCGCTTCGGTTTGGGCATCCGGGCAGTATCACAGCCCACACACAAATCAAGTGGCTTGTGTGGTGCATATGTATTCGGTGCCCCTTTGTACTAATATTTATGTGTTCAAATAAATAATCAATTCTAATAAGTAATACACAAGAGCCAGCAGTAGGGTGCGCAGTAGTTGAATACATTGATAACTTCAATTATATTGGAAGCGTCATCAGCCCTGGTGGGTTAATGTCCAACGAAATCTCAACACATACTCAGAATCCTTGGTTGGCGTTTGCCAATTTGCGTCAGTTAGTGTAGATAAGATATCCATTTTCCAACTAAAGGACGAATATACTGTGCAGAAATTCATTCTTCTACTTTGCAGCTGAGAAACGTGACCTTTAAAAATAGATATTAGTAGATTACTAGTATTCGATCAAAGGTGTCTTCAAATTATTGATAGTATATTTTGGGATCACCAGGTTAGGAATTTTGAGGTCAGATGCAAAGTACTACATAAGTATGGCAATTCGATAGAGAAGGTGGTTAATCTTCATCAATTGAGGTGGTTGGGACATGGATCACGTATACCCGTTCACCGACTACCTCGATGGCCGACAATGACTCATGTATAACGATATTGGAAGTATGCTATGGGTGTCCAAATCAAGAAATGACATCGATCCATGAAGACACTGACTGTTAGACTGAGATATTCAGGTAGGCACTGTTATGTTTGGAGCGATTACGAGTTCACCAAGTTTGCGAACAAAACAAAGACTCTATGACCAAAGACCAACAAGCTAGCTATTCTGATGCGACTCAGCCCCGCTAACTAGAGAGAAGTCCAAGTTCGAAACGAAGAAATATATTCCGCAAGCAACCAAACGTATGTATACAGCATAAAACCGTCCTTGAGAAGCGTTACAAAATAACATACTAAAGGATACAACGAACCAATAGCGTTTAAGATTCTCCCAAGTGGGAAATACGACATGAAGATGAAAAGAGCGCTTTTGGCGCGAAAACAAAGAAATTCAAATTTTCAAAATAAATTTACAAAATTAAGGTGTTTACTAAGTGAGTTCTGGGAATCTAACATCCCCAACACCTCCCCTTTTTAATAACGCACGTTCCTGGGGTCCACTTGCATCTTGGCCGTCTGTCGCCGTTATCGGAGTGACCAAACAATATCTTCAATGCTCGTTCTTTCTAATTACCACCAATAGTATTATTGCTTCTATTACTCTGGTATTTGCTCTGACAATTTTATCTCATGTTGATGGGGTACAGCAACTTCAACTAATGTACACATATGCTAGGTTATACGTTGAGCATGATTGAATGACTGAAGAGAATGAGAACAACCATTCAGACAATTATGACCAAATAAAGGAGATCGTTGAACAGCTCGTGGTCGTAGTGTCCAGGTTTCCCAAACACAGAACCGGCACCAGTGGGGTGTCATACTAATAGACTTTACGACCAAACTGAAATTGCGACGATCCTGAAGATGGCTTGGATTAGTATAGACTCATTTGGTTTTCGCGATATGTAAATTGAATTCATTTGTCACACCGCCATCAACACCAACACAGGTAACTATCAAATACACGAGCTTCTCAACTATTTGTGATGATTAGATACCAAGGGTAAGGTTAGGTACAGATCCAAATCAACCTTTTAGTAGCGCTTTACATTTCGGTGGTAAAAAATTCACACCACAATTAAGCATTTAATCGACAACTGGTCAGAGGCAATTTGACTGACCATATTATCGTACAGTTTGATCTTTTGTGAAGACTTGAGTGTAGACTCCTGAGAAGTCCAAAACTAGTACAGAATGACCAATGCTTTGCGATTAACAATGGTCCTCTAGCTGACTGACTTCACTGCAACCAAGTCCGAAACAACTTCAGTTATGGCTCTGAACGTCCGTATAAAAATCAACATTCTTGCAGAAGTAGGATAATAAGAAAGAATGTCAAAACTAACCGGAGTCAGTCAGTCAGTCAGCTACAACGTAAGATCAGGTACTTATATGTATCGGTCCAAGTTGTTATACCACATTAACACAACAACATCAACACTAAATTCATAGAGGTAGTCACTTCAATGGTAGTAATATATAAAAGAAAGATTGTGTATAAGGATATAATACAGGAACAAAGAACCGGTTCGTAGAAAAAAAGGTATAAAATAATTTTAATCTCAAGGTTTAAAGAAGACAAAGAGTGTATACACCGACGCCATTGTGATCGATTATGAGCCTTGCACCCACAGTCTCCAAACATTGGTTACGATAGTCACGCAGACCACTAGCAAGTAGTCCGTGGTATGAAAGAAAGCTGCAAAGGACTGGCCTCTGTCGGTCCTTCACGACTCCCTGGTTGGGGTCTGAGAGATGGTGCTACACAGTGGCTAGAGACGTTATGATATGGCTCAGAATAGAAGCCAGTGGCGATACTGCTGTAACCTTCTACTTTCTTCATAAAACGTGATTGTGTCTCCCTTACCTGAAAGATTTCTTCTAATTATACCTTTCCGTTCCCTCATTACTACCACACTACCTTACACCAATCTCTTCGTTATTGTTCTCTTTTTTGCGCTCCTTAGCTTTTTTTTCTATTTCTCTTCGAATTCTCATTGTTTTGTGTGGCGCATATATATTGGCGCTCTCTTGTACCAATATTCATGTGTTCAAATAAATAATAAATAAATAATAGTCCGCATCTTCTAACATGGCTCAGACCAAAAGTAAGTTACTTCAATGACTGATGCCACCTTTTGGTTTGGCCACCCCTAACTTTCTTCCAGCCATCTCCAATACTAGTCAGTACTGTGCGTCGTGGTATACGCTGCTCAGGCATACGTGGCACGTGGCCCAACCATCTCACTCGATGAAGATTTACAATCTCATCAACTGACTTACCATCATTCCCTAATAGTTTGTGTCTAACCTCATTATTACTTACCTGGTGATCCCAGCATATGCGAGTAATATTTCCAAAACATCTGTGATCAAATACTAGTAGCTTACGAGTGTCTTCTACTCCTAATGGTCACGTTTCGCAGCCGTAAAGTAGAACAGAACGAACTGCTGAACAGTATACTCGTCCCTCAATTGATAGACGAATATCTCGCCTTCGTCATAGGTGCTGACGTAAGTTGGCAAGAGCCAAACGAGCTTTCTGAGTCAGTGCAGAGATTTTGTCAGACACCAACCCATTAGAGCTGATCAGACTTCCAAGATAAGTGAAGTTGTCAACGCGTTCGACTACTTCACTCCCTATCCTCAGTTCAGGTGTTGACGCAGACCAGTCCTGAAGCAACAACTTGCATTTAGAAGGCGACAAACGCATCCCAAACATTCTAGCATTATTACTCAGTGCTACCAAAAGACTCTGCATTTTATCAGAGTCTTCACCAAACAGGACTATGTCATCTGCGTATTCAAAGTCGAAATTCAGTCGACGACAACATTGTTTCCATCAGTATGTCTGTGACGAAGTTGGACAAAATTGGAGATAGTGGACAGCCTTGCCGGACATCATATGAGGTTACAAAATCAGATGACATCGACATAGCTCTGATTCGACTGGTGGTGTTCGAGTAAATAGCCTTCACAAGATTTATGTACTTCTGAGGTACACCTTTAAATGAACTCAGAAGTACATAAAACTTGTGAAGGCTAACCGAAAATCAGAATTCCGGAAAAAAGAAATGTATTTATTTTGACAAGTGGACAATCTTTTAATCTTGTTATGAAATAATGGACAGGTGGAGTGATGGGTTAGTAGTTGAGACACTAGTCCTTCAACAAGTCTGAAGTACGAACCTAGCTCCACTTACCGCAGTTTGAGGCAACGGATGGTACCATTAACCAACAAAAAGTGACTTGAAGTTCAATAAACAAACATGTACTAGGCAAAGGAATTATATGAAAACGATAAACAACAGGATAATGGTTCTGTTAACTTACTTCACCTAAGTCAGTGTGACAGGTCGTACTATTGTGTCCATTATTAGGAATCGCACATACATATACTTCAGGACAGGTGGGTTCTGACGAGAAATAGAGGCGATGTGTTGCGAAAATAAGGATGGATCTGTCGTTCCAAATGGAAAGATCAGGTAGGATGTTTAGGTTCGTGTAATCTATTATTGAAACATTTGTGGAGTTATTATACGGGAGTAGTTCATAAGGAAATTGAAGATCAATAGGTGAATTTACACTGAGGATACTGTCAGTAGTATCTAAAACATCATCCATAGGCGTCAAGAAATTGTAAATACATGAAAGATGTGATATCGTAGGAGAAATAATGATTTTTAGTGATAAGTGCCTTTCCGATGTTGATGGACAAGAATTTCGTACGACGAGTGTATCTACAAAGTAAAAAACCAAATATACTGAGTGCAGAAAAATACACCGAGATCAAATCGTTTTGAGAATATTGTTAATGAGCGTCCACATCCCAACGCAAAGTCAGAAATTTAGCACAAACCAGTTAGCCACAGAGTATAACAAAATAAAGGTGGAAATAAAATCACTGTCTACCGGACCACCTTAACAGTACCCCAATACTGTTTCCGCATCTAACTTCCTGTTGAGACAGCAGACGACCAAAAATATGTAGCGGTCAATAAATCCCTAAAATAAATAGTTCTGTAGGTCTTCGACATTTGATGTTGACCTGATTAGTTTTGATGAACACATTTAGCTGAGGCTGTTCGGTTACGCATCCGCACCAAATCACGAGTGGGTACGCCGTGCTACTCACCCCTTTACAACCGTTAACCAGCTTATACTAAATGCTTCCCGATATGTTGATTGCCTTCCAAATATACCTTCGAACCTCTTCGTTTTCTGACTTCTGTTTCGACTAAGCTGTCATACTTTTGTGGCCGTGGATCTGACTCCTATTTAGATCATACGATTGTTTGTTATCGCCTATTCTCGTATATAATCGTCGACTTAAATCACGTTATCCAATAACGGAATTGAATAAGTCGAATAGCGAGAATTGATTTGTGAATGCATATATTTTGTACATGAAGCGAATGAAGCATAGCAAAGCAAAATGACACGCAGGGAAGGTGGCTGGGAAGCCAACTCCATTTTAGTTAAGCGTTACTCAATATTTATAGTCAGACAAAAATAAATTACAGACATGCAACGAGTCATGGATATGAAGTGTACACACATATACGCTCATATAAAAAGTCAAGACTGACAAGCGAATAACTGACAAGGTCAAAATATGACCCAAGTAGAATGAATAGAATGGAATGTCCGAAAGCTAGAATAAGATACAGGGGCTTAAAATAATGACTAACACTACAATACTTCGATTTTAAAGGTATTACGTGCAAAGGTGTTGTCAAACTCCGAAGACGTGACATCTTTAGTAGTGAGGTCGACGTGGTCTGCTACACCAGTTCTCAAATTGTGAGTCTGTTCCTTATTAGAACATTATGTATCACTTTTTGATATTTTTCGCTTATTGGTATATTAGATCTTCATCATGATGGAACAAACACTTAAGTTACTTAAGATCAAACGTCTTTTGTCTCACACCATCCAGTTAACACTATTCTGGCCCGATAATGCAGAAGCCTGGTTTCGGTACGTAGAAGCTGACTTCCACGAGCACGGCGTGACACACCCACTCGCACAATTCGCAGTAGTGAAAGCACTACCAAGCGATTTCAACAAGTACGTCACACAGTATGTTTGCCTTACGAACCTTTAAAAAAGGTCTCAGCTAGATGTGTCCATCAAAGCTAATCAGGTCAGCATCAAATGTCGAAGACTTACAGAACTACTTACTTTGAGGATTTAATGACCGCTGCAAAGAAAACAAGTCACGAGACAGTATGGTTTCGGGGACTAGTACATTGCAAACTAGCTGCAAAACCTCTAAGTGTTTTACAAGACAATTTAAACATCAAGCAATAAAGTTCACATGGGAATCGTAGAGTACAGAAACAAATCATCATACGCTAAGTCCTCTTGGAACTATAAAATACCACACCATTGCATTTAAACTTCCAATTTAGCTCTGCACCATAAACACATGTGGAGCTAATTACTTGAAGACTATTTCTTAAAGGTTATTGTACAAACAACTTCGAACACAATTAAAGCAACGAGCTGTGTACGACAAAACGAGTTGAATATATGAAACACAGGGTTCAACAGACGTCAACATATAGTTCTATCAGTAAAATACTTGACATGGATAATACTAGTAGGAAGGACTGTCTTAACATGACCCTCTCATAAGTATAACATGCAAATAAGGTACATGAAACCAGTTCTTGTTCATTACAGAAAATACATGACTATATATATATATATATACATGTATTCAAGCGGATGACATAAGAGCTCAGTTGTATAAAACACAAGACCAAATGCACATAAAGCAGGGCTGAACAGCACGTGTATGATGATGGAAATCGCATGAAAAATACAGTTCACAAGAGACCAGATATGAAGAAAACAACTAACCTGGAAAATCATTAGAAGTCTTTTCAACGTATGAATGTTTGGACAGTAGCGCGAATATAATTATTCCGAAACACATAAACAGAGCCATTTTGGAGGCATCTGTATCAAAATTTTCAATATCCCGTCGGCGCCGATTTCTCCTAGGAGCTTGCTCTCGTAGGTAATAAACCCGTCTTTGTGAGTAAGATACCATAAACTTTGTTCTTCTCAGTAGACAAGCAAGCGACTACTGCACTGAGGAGAAACCAACAACACTTAACCTTGAAGCTAACACTAGCCAAGTACTGTAGTTAAAAAACCGCCGGCTTATTCTCAGCGTTAAACGGTATCAGTGGATCAGCCTACCGTAATCGACATAATGATAATGATCAATCGATTATATGTTTTGCTTCTCGAAGTTTCGTTCTTCATTTTAGACCCAGTTTTGCCATGAAATCGTTTGCTTGTGTACGATATGCGTGGCGCGCTATTTAAAAATGTTGTCTTAAATTTTATTGTGCCCTAAGGTGTAAAGTATGAATTTATACCTACTTAAAATGAACTTTCAGTTAAAGTAACCGAGAAGTCTCAGTCTTTTGTATTCAGTGTTTGTCACTTTCATATCTTCAAAAACACATTCCAGAGGTCAGGTTTGCTGGGATGAAGACTTTAGGAAAACTATCTCAAAGTTGATCAGAACATGTCTTGCAGAGAGATCAGTAATTTTTCGTAAGTTAAGTGATTCTTCTAAAAGGGGGTTGAAGGATAGGTTTCGACACAATCCAATCCGCATTATCAGTTTCAGTTTGGAAAGGATCCCGCCAGGCGGGATCGTGGATGCTCACTGCTGAGGAGTCCCACACTGGGATGGGACGGCCGTCCAGTAGTTCTAGATTTTCCATGGTGGTCTAGCTTCAATTGATTCATGATTTCAATCAGTGGAATTTCTAAAATCTCCACTAAAACCCCTCCCGATTGTTAAAATGTTGAGATTTTCATAATGAAACTTTTTTATCACTGGAAAACATTTGTGTATATTATTGAGTTTGAAGTTTACATTATAGATTTAATGTAGTTAGATAATTAATGAGCACCCAAAAACAGCTATTTCGTTTTAACATGGGTAGAAAGGTAATGCGATAAGATGCTGGTTGGAGGTAGTCAATAAGAAACCCTGCACCTAGGTTTCGTGCTACTTGAGGGAACTGATTCGCCGTGACGAGTGCCAAGTAGTATGAAACCTAGGTCTAGGGTTTCCTGTTGACTACCTCCAACTATCAGCTTATCATAACATAGTACACGCAATATCGAGTCATTTACGCTAGTTTCAGTTTGGAAAGGACAGGAGGCTTGGTGGCCTGTGTTAGTTATTGCAATGGTGGTCTCTCAGTTGTTCCACTCTCTCTTTATAAAGAGTCGACAGATAGTGCTTTCATTGAGTGTTGAGGTAATGAGTTCCACTCGTTGATGATTCGATGGGTAAGTTGATAGTCAGTTGACAAGTAATTTGTCCTTGGCTTGTGAACTTTTTGGAGTGTCCTCGTTAATTCCCTGTTCCGGAAGACAAGAAAAATGAGGGCATATCAGGTGCAAATTGATCACTAAGCAATTTGGAGACTGTAATCAAGTCGCTTCTAGATCTTCGATATGACAACGGGAATCATTTTAGCTTGGCCAATCGAGCTTCATACAGAAGCTTTGCTATTCCGGTAATCAGCTTAGTCGCCGTTCTCTGAACCTTTTCCAGAAGATCACTGTCTTTTTCAAGCAGGGGCTGGCCACCTGTATGCAGTACTCAATTTTAGGACTCACGGACACTGTATAAAAAGTCGAAAACGTTTTAGTGTCGACATGAATTAAGCCCTACGTATTGACCATAAGGTTCTAAAACCTTTGGTGGCTATTGCACGTCAGTTTGCAATAGTCTTTAAGTTTTGGCTAAAGATGACTCCTTAGTCATTATGTGTCTGTACAACATGTAGCTCACTGTTATTCATCGTGTATGTATCTGTGCCTTGATGACCGATATGCATCACAACACACTTGGAAGTATTTATCGGCAACTGCCATGTTTGAGACCATTCAGATAACTTCTTCAGGTCATTTTGAAGTTCTAAGCTATCACTCTTACATCGTATCGATCTCCATATCTTGACATCGTCAGCATATAGCAAGACCGATGATGATAGGAGACAAGGGAGGTCATTTACATACAAGAGGAATAGCACTGGCCCCAAAACTGTACCTGGGGCACTCCGCTAAGCACAGTTTCCCAGCTAGATAACTAATAAGTTAGTGGGGCAGGAATAACATATACCAATACCATGCTGCTTCCCTGAAAAGATCCGGTTTAAATCGAGATTCTTAAATAGCTCCTTCAGAGTATTTTTTCTAAGATTTTAACAACCACACTAGTTAGGTTAACCGGTCGGTAATTCTCAGGTTTACGTTTCGTACCTGTTTTGAAGACAGGACTTACTATGGCGTCCTCCCAGTCTTTTGGTAGATGACCCTGGGTTATGGATAGATTAAAGCATATATCTAAAGGGTTCGCGACGAAGCTAGCTAGTTCTTCTAGTAACCTAGGATGCAGTACATCAGGCCCCGTGGATTCGCCTATGTCAAGTCTATTTAGCAGACCAGAGACATAGAGTTCTTTAATGGTCACAATCTCCAGAGTAATAATAATAATAATAATAATAATTTATTCTCAAATAACAGTTTGTTACATGAGGCATGCCAGTTTACAGGCAAGATCAAATTGATACAAATGATACAATATACACTGTATTAAATTACATAGCTGGGTTGAAAATTTATAAGACATGAATGTAGATTGTTTTAATCAGTACTACAGTTGGCGCGCTTCACGAGAGTTGCGTTGCGAATGTGCGACTGACGATCAAGAATAGGTCCATTGAAGGTATGAGCTTCTAGAAATCGCAACCTTATGTCCCTTTGGGATATCCAAGGCTTTAAGGATGGTGCAGGATGATGTAACCTGTTCCATATCTCAAGGGGCTGAAAGAGGGAGGAAGTAAAAGAAAACACGAGAGGCAGAGTAGCCAATATTCATGTAGGAATGTTTAAGGTATGATTACTCAGTCTAATTTTCTTTTATTAAAGTATTTGTTAAGAAAGAGCATTTTAATAGGTTAAAGAAAATAAGCTTTAGCAAGGTGTGAGTGGACATACAACTGACAAATGGAGGCGACTCGGAAAAGAGCTGAGAGTATAAGATTATGTGTGATTATAAAATAAAATATAGTGCTAGAAACAGTATTGTGATATACAACTGGCTATCTTCCTTTTATTATCGAAGCTATTAGAGCCCCTAAAAAAAAAAAAAAAAAAAAAAAAAAAAAAAAAAAAAAATTCGTATATTAGCGAATTGTCTAGTTTGCTTGTAATAGGATTTCTGAGTAGGAAGTGAAACCAATTCAACGTTCGTAACACGATTTAAAGAGGTATTTTGCGTGATAAATCAGCTTCAATACCTTAAGTCCGTGACATCCCACTAAACCATAAGGAGCCGTAATTAAACAAAATGTTCTGCCCTACAGACATGGGTGGATTGAAGTTATCTCCCCACCTTCATGTTTGCTGGTCAGTAACGCCACCCTCCCTCCTTTTGTGATGTTAGGCTCTCTTACGTTTGTGGTAAGTATGATTAATGCTTTAATCAAAGTACATAGTTGGAATACACTGTCTCTACTAGGTCCATGTTACAAGCAAATCAGATATTTAAAAATTCTGTTTTATGGGTTAGATGTCCATATAGTATATCACACTGCTATGAAAATAACTAATGGTTTAAAGAAGTAAGGATTAATAGTAAATCAAAAGATATGAGAGGGTATAAAATTGTAGAAAAAAAAAAGAAAAAGACTTTAGGGTAAAAAAATAAAACATTGAGAAACTCACAAGACTTTGTGGCCAAATTTTGAGCTTTGAATGATCGGCCTTAGTAGATCAGCATCCATAAGATTGAGCTATCTGTCTACTTGCAGTAGAAAAAAAAAGCATGACTTTTAGGAAGAATAATGTACATTTAACCTGTAGAGATTTGGGGACTGAAAGCTAGGGTTAGGAGCATGAAGTCATGATTAATAAACAATGAATAATAGGAAAGGATAAGCCATATATCCTGTGATTTGGTTATATTCATATTAGTAACAGTCGAACTTGTTATAATTTTGTTCTTTCTAGATACTAGGCGGTCCGTAATAAAGTGCCTCATCGGTGGGCGGGAGTTCAAGGTAATGTTGAAGCTCTTTGGAGTCTAGAAATAGGGTTATTAGCTTTTTGAATCTGGTAAACGTATCACAGTTACGGATAGGCATTGGCAGCCTGTTCCACAATAAACTGTACCGTACTGTGAAAAACTTACAACGCATTTGTTTTTGGTGTTTTACGGTAAGTAGTGTATATGCGTTGTTTCTAAGTCTATAGGCTGGGTCGTGGGTGATAGTCGGGCAGGAGGTTAGAAAGGAGAGCCCATATATCGCTTTGTAGAGAAATATTAAATTGTGTTTTAGCCTACGGTGCCATAAAGGTTCTAAAGATAGATGCTTACATCTGTCTGTGTAATCGAGATTCGAGTTACATCCTAGTAGTTGACGTGTGAAACGTCTTTGAACATCTTCTACTCTTATCTTGTCTGCGATATTCATATTAGAGAAGACAAAAGAGCAGTATTCAAGGGTGGGTCGTACACATATTTTGTAGAGAGTAAGTTTACCCTCTGTTGTGAAAAAGTTTTTCATTATAAAACCAATTAGCCGTCTAGATTTAGAAATAATAGAGGAGGCATGTTCTTCAAAGTTTAGGCTTCCTGTGTAATTAATTCCTAAATCGTGTACTGATTCGAGTGTTTGGACTATACATTCATTTAAGTGAAGTCGCGGTTTATAGGGATGCTTTCCAAAGTGCATGATCCCGCACTTGTTGAGGTTAAATGGTAATTGCCATTTTTCACTCCATATAGTTAAGTTATTGAGGTCCTTTTGGATCTGGGATACACTTTCGCTTAGTGTCTCAGGCTTATAGCTGTATACTATTTTGAGATCATCAGCATATAAGTACGGTTTCCCAAATTCTATGGTGTTACATATATCGTTTATATACATAAGAAACAAAAGTGGACCTAATACGCTTCCCTGGATGACTCCACTGGTGATTGGTCTAGGGGACGAGAGACAGTCATTGTACTTTACCATCTGTTTACGTTCTGTTAAGAACGAAGCAAACCATGAGTACAGTGGGTTGTGTATTCCGAAGGACTTTAGTTTGACGAGTAGCCTTTTGTGTGGGACCTTATCAAAGGCTTTCTTAAAGTCTAGGAATAGGACTGATACAAGGAGTCCGCTGTCTCGTTTCAGAGTTATATCATTCAGGTAGTCTACTAGGCATGTATCGCATGATCTGGACCTAAGAAATCCATGCTGGGAGGTCGACAAGAGATTGTTAGTTAATAGATGTTGGACTACAGCCGCCTTAACTACTTTTTCCATCACTCTGGATACCACTGAAGTTATGTTTATAGGCCGGTAATTTTCAACGTTTGCTTCAGGTCCTGTTTTAATTTTGGGAATGATATGTGTAGTTTTCCAGGCAGTAGGGTAACACGCTGAAGAGAGTGATATCGCGAATAGTTTGAGAAGCAAAACACACATATCATCACCTCCACGTTTTAGCATGCTAGATGGAATACCATCTGGTCCATCAGTGTAGGAGTGTTTCAATGTACTGATTGCCTTGGAGATATTTTGTACACTGAATTCTACATTAGTAATTTCACAGGGAGTTACTGGGATTGGTTCTGAATCATTAAATGGTTTTTCGTTAGTTAGTGAGAAACAAAAATGTTCACTAAATAATTCTGTGATAAGTTTGGGATCTTCGTATACTTGTTTGCCTTTAATGAATATACTCCCTCTCGATTTAGAGCGTTTAAGTTTATTTTGGAGTAGTATGGTGAGTGCAGAGGAGTTATTATTAAGTTCAACTGCACGTTTTTCCTGTGCTACTGCTTTTTGTTTACTTATTGCCTCTGTTCGGACAAGTATTTCTGTCATCGTTACTAAAGAGGAAAAGTCATTTAAGTTGTGGAATCGAGTACAATGTCTTTGAAGACGTCTTCTTGTACTGACCGGTATATAGAGATCTTTGGAGAACGTAGGTTTACAGTATTCTAAAGGTGCGATGTTGTTGATGATACTTTTGATGTTGTGATAAAATATATTGGTTAATGTGTCGGTATTGTTTGAGGTAAAGAAAGTTCTCCAATCAGTGCTTCTTAGGTAATTGTGGAAGTTATTCCAATCAACCTTGCGATAGTTTCTACGAAGTGTTACGGTTTTACTTCTATCGGTTGTGGTTTTTACATTAAGGCTGCATATGACAATGTTATGATCACTACCTGGGAACTTTTTTCCAATATACAAAGTATTGGGGATGAGGCCACTGGTAAAGACTAAGTCTAAGATGTTTTGATGTCTGGTAGGGCTATCGACATACTGAGTCCATTGTCCAAGCTCTAGACATTCAATAAATGATTCATAACGTCTCGGCGCTTTGACTGGCAGCCAAGAAATTTCGGGCATATTGAAGTCACCACAAATGAGCTTGCCTGTGAATGAGAGGGATGATGCTAGCGTGAATACCTCCGATAATACTGCTATTTCATCTATTGATGCGTTAGGTTGACGATAAACACAGCCGAGCAGTAAGGTAACGGAATTCGACGGCTTTAATACAATCCACACCGAATCCTTCAGTTTGTTTAGTTCAGGCATATCACATAGCAGTGAGTTCAGGCTAGAGTGAGCGTAAATAAGGCATCCTCCGCCTCGTCCATTCAATCTATCGCTTCTATATAGGGAATAGTTATCTAGAGATATGCTTCGGTCGGAAATATTACTGTTAGTCCATGCTTCAGATATCATAATAACTGATGGTTGATATATGGATACAAACAGGGCTAAATCCGTCTTTTTGTTGCAGATCGATCGAGCGTTGATAAGACATATATTAAGCAAGTGGCCTACTAAGTTAAAATGGGTGAGGGTATTTCGGATAAAATCGTCGTAACCCTCGCGAGTGTAAGATGAGTTTGATGTGAGGGATTGGATGTTCTTCATTAGCTCGGTATTTTGATAGCTAAACTTATTGGGAGATGTATCAAATGAGCTGGTGAAGTTGATTGGGGAGTTTACCCAGGAGGAAAGGGTGGGAGTACTCTCTGGTGGAAACTGTATGTGTGGGGATTTGTACGAACTGACGGGAAGGGCATTTCCACTGTATATACGTTTCTAAAGTAGTATGAGAATACTTGAGCTTTACCAAAGTCATCCTTCACTAGTGATGAAGCAGTACTGTCTCCCCATAGTGCTAGAATATTTCCTCTTCTTACTGTAATTTGGTTTATATACTATACATTCCATTCATTCCCTAACGATTTTCTCTTCTTACAACATTTTAGACTTACGGAGGGTCGAAGCACAGGTATTCCGAGCTTTTCGGCACAGGGATTTTGTCTCATCAATTCCACATTCTTATTCTCTTACGGAGAAGAATACGAACCCACTACTGAACCATGGTGGAGAGTTTCTCGGCCTCTTTAACGTTGTCCAAGGGATGTGTGGTGCAGTAACTTTTAAGTATAAATTTCAAAATACGCCACAAGCTATTTCGATTCAGGACTCTGGCTCTATTTTTCAATCTACTGACGATGCTGAATGTATGATATCTTGTATGTTTGCTTTCTAGACGTTGGGTCTGGATTGAGCTGATGCGCTCTCGTGTTTGACAATTATATGGAAGTCAGAGGTGAATTTTGCATGATCATTTTTACCTAGGGGTAGCACATAACCGAGGTTCGTAACGTCATCCTCATAATGTGTCAGTGTAAGATCTAGTAAGGATGATTCAGAATCCGGGTCACACCTAGTCGCTTCTTGCACACATTGCACTAGGGTACGTGTGAGAACCGCATCAGCTAGTTCCTGCTCAAAAGAAGTTTCTGATAATTTAGTTCGCAGATTTTCCCAGTCTACTATGGGTGCATTAAAGTCCCCAGGATTAGACATCGAACACTTTGTGAACAAGTAATGAGACAGCTTAGCAAGGTCTCATTTACCTCACAGCTTGGACTGCGATAGACCAAATCAATCAGCGGCTCTTGTCCCTTGCATTTCAAGCAGCAACTAACTAATTCACACGTCCCACTCTTATGAGATACACTGTCGAGAATGGAGATGTGAATACTACTTTATCGATGACTTGGGAAGTCAGTTTGTGTTTCCTGCCAGTAACAGAACGAGCCTTGGGATT